TCCCTTTGAAAATGTTCTCCTCAACGGCGCCCTCCAGCATCACAATCCACCCGAGCATTTGGAGGGGGACCTTCTTGCTGGCTGGTGGACACTCCATTCTGATCGTGATGAGCTGGTTCAACAATTGTCGAGAATCGAGTTTGTCCTCTATTCGCCTGCAGTGGGTGTGATTGCAACAGTGTCTTTTGGCATTGCATTCTTTGTTAGTAAATGATTCAGAATTGGCCCAAGATGTTCTATTGTCCAGGGCACCCCATTACTTTGAACAACTACACATAGCTGCACCACCAACAAAATAAAACAAAATAACATCGAAGGAAAAGGCAAAGAACCAGAACCCAAGAGAAGAAAAGCCTTGGCTCAGTTGAGCTGAAGGACCTAACGTCTCCTCGCTGCCCACCAGATACCTTCTCTGACACTAGGTGCGGCGCAATCAAGATTGCAACACCCTTGGTCGGGACTTTGGACAAAGCTTTGTGGATAATGCTGACAACAAAGTTCAAGTCGCTCACACCCAGGCGACCAAACTTGGTCAAATCGGCCCAAACCACGAGCGCACCAGCTGTTGCTTTGCGTGCAGCCACAAACTGCAGGGTCAAGACATGGACTTGAGGGAGGCATTGTGAGAGGAACAGAAAACAGAACATTATTATTTTAAACCTGAGAGCTAACAGCTATAATACCCACATTGTTACCCTACACACTTGGCACTATGGTTTTCAAAGGTTTCATAGGTCCAGGCCTGTTCCACTGCATGGGTCAAGTCAGCTTCACTTCCACCCAAATGCTTTGCATGCTTCTCCATGTGGTTGGAAATGATGGATGCACCGATGACATTCTCGCTTCGAACATGGGTTATGCGGCGAAGTCGTTCGGCTTTTTCGGTTTTCTGAACCTGCTGCATCATTTTGGCAATTGCAGCCACATCTCTTGCCAATGACAAGCTGTCGTGTTGCCATGCCTTCTGCTTTGCGTCCTTGCTCAAGGCGTCTAGCTTGTTGTCAGCTGCGTCCAAAGGAACTTCGTGAGAAGGATCTGCTTCCGATTCCTGAGGTGTAGAGGCATTGTCCTTCCACATGGTGGAATCAGCAGGTTTGAAGTTTCGATCTTTCGTCGTGAGCAAGTCCATGGCTTCTTCGGCAAAGTCCCTGAGTCGCAGCAGAATATTGGCTGAATAGGAAAAAAAACAAGCTTCTTGACCCTACTGATTGCAAAACGGACATGTCCGTGAACACCAAATAAAACAGTGGCCAAGAAAGCAGCCGCTGCTAACAGCTGAAAATTACTAAGAAATTTGACAGCAAGATACCCTTCCAAGATCCCCAGCTCGACTTTTTGGAGTATGTCCAGCGGGAATTCATTCTGTCCATCATTGTTCTTGGCAATAACCATGTGGTCAAAGATGTAGACTTGAACACAAATCAAGTCAATCTGGGATACCCACTGCTCCGGGGTGAGTCTGGTGACACATGCTCGACCTGCCCGACGTGTCTGCACGTCATGCAAGTGAAACACCCTTTGGAGAAACATGCTCTGCTTGCTTGGCGTCATCTTCAAGATGGAATGCCATAGAGGGCACAGGTTGGTGACTTTCGGCAGGCCGTCCAACAGCCATCGGTTGTCCATCAGAAAATCCCGGCTGAAGGCTGACAGGGTCGAACAAGAACAACAGTAAGAGCAGCTGAATAAGCCAATGCTTGTATCCAACAGATTTGCAGCAACAACCAACTTTAAACAGCTCGGGAAACCAGGTTTCAATCAATCAAGTTGAAAAAGTTTCCCCATAATGCAGCTGACGCGACTTGACATGTCCTAGCACACCCAAACCCAGCCCGAAACCCTTTGATTTCAACTTTCACCAGATTTAGCCTGAGCTTTGGAATGCGTACTTGTGCAAGTGACGTTCAAGAAGAGACCATGATTTGCTGCAGACTCCGACCTTGCAGGCAAGCGGACTTCTGGGTTGTGCTCTATGGAAACTTTGATGAGTCGACAGGCAGGAACTAACTGGAGGAACCAGAATTGTTACAAAACAATTTACTATTATTTCTGAAAAAGGGTGGAAACTTTTGGAAACACAATCATTGCCGAGAGACTTTAAGCCCATACAGCTCGAGTGCTTCATTTTCATCAACTTGGAGTTTGCTGCTTGTAGCGGCAAAACCATAGCTGTTGTATTCCGCCACTCCATCCATATAGGCCTCCTTGTAGCCAGATGCTCCATTGTATTTGTGGGCCTCCTGCAACCCGAAAGACTTCAAGCAGCACACGCATCTGAACTCAAACACATTGGTGTGAAAACATTTTGAAATTGTTTCTTGGGAACAGGCCTCCAAAAGCTTGGCTTGGGCTCTTTGATGAAAGATGTTCGCCTTCTGAAATGGATTCTTTCTCTGACGTTCACTCTGCTGTTCATGCACTTGAAGCCGCCGCCAAGAGATGTGGCTCTCATGTTCGTGCTTCATCACCACGCAGTGAATCTTGATGCAGGTCACCAGCCACCTGCTCGTGAGGCAAGGGACACCCGTACATGTTGGGGCCACCAAGATATGTTGGGTTATGCAGGAACAATGGTTTGGACACATTCAAAAGGACGATGGTTTCGCCCGGACCATCACCCCCTGTCATTTGTTAGTCAAGAGATACCCTGGCAGAATATCAGTATGATACGATGGCATAATATCATTTATTATGCTGTGATATTATGGCATAATATAGTGTGATATTATGGCATAATATATTGTGATATTATGGCATAATATCCGTTGTCATTTGTTGGAATGTACGATCTGGCAGATTATATTCTGGCAAGTTGCAACAATTTTTTCAAGTTTTCCAGTGATCCGAGAATGTCTTGTGGATATTCTGCTGTCACCCCCTGGGTGTTCAAAAAAACAAATTTCAAAGGACGATGGTCCCACCCGGACCATCACCCCCTGGAGCCCTGAAAACCATGGGTAAGACTCTGCCATAATATCCCAGAACCTGATTCTAATGACAAATTGCTGTGTGATATTCCTCTGGGCTATGGGGATACCAGGTTTGAGGATTGCAGGACTGTAAAATACCTCGCTGTGGTAACTTGTCCACTTGTCAGGGGACGACGTTCCCGACCGGACCATCACCCTTTGGAATTTTGTTTTTAGGATCCCCAAAGGACGATGCCAGATTGTCTTGGCTGCCCATTTTAGAGGTTGCATAAGGTCCAAAACACATTTTGTAAGCCTGCAGATATCTGCGATATTCTGCGGTAAAAGGTGCATATGTCTGCGATATTCTGCGGTAAAAGGTTTTGAAACCAATATTGCATGGAAAGTTTCAGTTTCTGATTGAAGCCCAAGTGTACTCAGTTCTGTCACTGATGAATCCGTTGCGCTGCCAGTTTTTTTCCACTGGAGGGAGCTTAGTAGCCCATTGATGATTCACCAAAAATTTGGGTGTGGACAGCAATACCTTTTCGGCATCAAATTTTATGAGATATAAACTAGGGACAAGATGTTCACTGCTTGCCCTTTGTCCAGCCTTCGGAGATCAGCAAGCTCGCCTCTGGAGAGGGCATCCTTCAACTCATAGTATGTGAAAAGGATGGCGAAGAAAACAACGCTCAATCTGCCGAAACCTTTCGTCACGGTGGCAATAGCCAATCCATTCCTGGATCCATTCGCCTTGCAGGGTTCATATGGCATTCTCTTGAAAATTTGTTGAAGAAAAGTGATAAACAAGCTTGGTCTTGATGCTAACCAAGTCTGTGCTATTAATTCTTCAAAGTGTGGAACCAGTAAAAAGATGAGAGCAGGGAATATGAATGTGCGGTGAGGAGAATTCCATTGATTTTAATTATACCCCCCTAAAAGTAGATGGAACAACTCCAAAACCAAAATACCCATAAGATGGCACCGTGCGGTGAGAAAGAAAACGGCGCTATTTTAGCTGGAACATAAAACAAATTCCGCCAATTGAAAAAAATCACCATACATTAAAATGAGAAGGTAGATGGCGCAACTCGTTTTGAACCTATTTGAGCCCGAAACCGACCCAAAATTCAACCTCAACGGAGCCATGCTTCCGTTGGGATTGAAATTTTAGGTCCGAAAGCCGCCAACAGAGCCCAACATAGCCCTAAAATGGCCCAACAGAGGCCCAACATAGCCTCCAAATGGCCCAACATAAGCCCAAAACCGACCCAAAATTCAACTTCAACGGAACCATACTTCCGTTGAAATTCTAGGTCCGAAAGCCGCCAACAGAGCCCAACATAGCCCTAAAATGGCCCAACAGAGGCCCAACATAGCTTCCAAATGGCCCAACATAAGCCCAAAACCGACCCAAAATTCAACCTCAACGGAACCATGCTTCCGTTGGGGTTGAAATTCTAGGTCCGAAAGCCGCCAACAGAGCCCAACATAGCCCTAAAATGGCCCAACAGAGGCCCAACATAGCCTCCAAATGGCCCAACATAAGCCCAAAACCGACCCAAAATTCAACCTCAACGGAACCATGCTTCCGTTGGGGTTGAAATTTTAGGCCCGAAAGCCGCCAAGAGGGCCAACAGAGCCCCAAGTGGCCCAACATAGCCTTCTATGTTGAGCCTATGTTGAGCCCATGTTTGGCGAAAAAACATGTTCATTTAACGCCCTAAATCAGCGCCCAAAAGAACACGCTGTTTTGGGGTCATGTCCGGGCCAGATATGAGGGAGGTGCGCCATCTATGTGGGCATTCCCAGCCAGATTTTGGCGAATGAGTGGGAGTTGAGCCATCTATGTCCCAAAAAAGCAGCTTGATTCGATGTTGAAGCAACTTTTTTTTGACATAGATGGCGCAACTCAAGATTCTGAGCTATCTACTCTTGGGGGGAGTATTACCGACTGGCTTTTAAGAAGACAATGCTTGTTTTTTGTTGGACACGACCTCTACCTTCACCTCAATCGGTTCTCTCGTGCTTTCGAAGCCGCCCTTCAAAATCGACTCTGCAGTGCCAATCCAGCTCTGCATGTGCGGGAGCCCATCTGAAGGCATCGCATACCACAGGCAAAGCACTGGTAAGACACATGTCGCCTTGTGCTCATCCTGAAGCATGACTGATGGTGTCCAAACTTTAAAAGACTTAGCGACTGACCAGTTGGAAACCGATACTTGTTGTTTTCAGCTGGTATCATGAACCAATCAGTGATCATGTGCAAGATTTCTTGCCAAGCTTCGGGAAGTGTCATCGACTGCGGGTTTGGCATGGCAGTGTCAGGGGTGTTCAAGATGTCTTGGTTCAACCAATTCAGAATTGGCTCGTAGATCCCATCTGAGAGCTTTTCCATGACGTACTTCACAGGGTGCTCGTCCCCCTCTAGGTTGAATGCCCTCAGGGAGACTAGCTGACGGCAGAGCTATATAACATACTACATGTTTGGCAAGGTTCTGGAAAGGACGATGCTTCAGCGATATGATTTTGACAGTCTTGAAGACGGTGTCACTGCCGAGATCAGCCAAGTAACAAAGCAGCTTGCAAAATCTTATGGGCCCATGGGCATGAGCGAGCAAACTTGGCATCACCATCTTCCAAATTGCCATTGGCTGAGGATCTCTTTGGCATCTTGCGAATGTTTCGCAAGACAAAAAAAAATGAAACTTCGAGCTGGAGGCAAGGCAATGATGGAATGTTTCAAATTTGGGCTTGTCACCAACAACCAATCTCATCATAGTTGCCATGCACTCGTTTCTGAATCCAAATATGTCCAACGATGCGAAGCATTCAGTCAGCTTTCTGATGTTCTTTGCCGCATTCCGACCATGGTTGGACTTAATTGAATGTGAATTAAAGCTACAGAGCTTGCCCCGGCAGCAACAATGAAAAAACTAGGCCAAGCGTGGCTCCAAAGCACAAGCGGCAGCAAGCAAGACATATCCAAAGCATGGAATTGATAAGCTGTTTCCAGCCATCGCTGCAACAGACTTGGGACTGATGCCCTTCAAATCCAATTTGGGAGCACCAGCAGCCTTTGACTGCATCCGGGTACATGGAATTGTGTGTGCCGCCATCATCTCCGTTGGTTTCAGGAAACGGCCAAGCTCCTCATATGAATCTGTATTTGAAGCAGCAATCCTTACATTCAATCCCCAGTGACGCCAAACAAACTCATTTCCATTTTGTCAAGCTGCATCTTACTCAGTGGATGATTCCACATTTTTTAAAAAATGATGGGCTTCAACAGGATTATTTTGGATACTTAGGGGCATGAGTCTGAGTGGCATCAGTGGCATCATACCCGGAAACCAAAGCAGCCAAATCAAAAACCAAAAGCACGCTGCTAAAAGCCCAGTCCTCGGAATAAATTTTTGATGAATTGGTCGTCAAAGTCATCAAAGATCCGTCAGCGAGTTCTCCCCTTCCACGGCCATTCCGTGCATATTGGCTGAGATCTGGAAACGTGATCTTCTTGTCAAGCATTCGGTATTCACGAAGGTTTCTGTCCTTGGAAACATGTTGAAAGGCCATCTGCTGATAGCGATTTCAGGGAAGAGGGTTCTTTATAGCCAACACCTTTTACTGTGGAGGCATGCAAAAACTAGTGAAGGTAGCAATTTACCCGCTGGTTTCCCCCCTGTAACGAATTTCCCCCAAGAAACGGGTCTGTCTTTGGGTGTTTTTGGGCAATAAGGTGAAGGGCCGCAAGACTTTGACATATATTTTTAGAAAATACAGAGTGTTGGATCAATTTAAACCATGAATCTTCAGCATCACTAAGCTGGTCTTTCGGATGTGACTGCCAGAAATAGTTTCTCGCTGATAGCACTGACTTCGAAGAAATGCATTCCAGGAAACTTGTGAGGGAATATTCTGCATTCCACATGATTTTCTCCTTCTTGTATGCCACGAAGAAACTGCGAGCACGGCCCACTCCCAGGCCTACATTCCTTGGGTCCACCTGCACATCCTGAACCTCAAAGCCAGGGCCTAGGTGGGACTCCACCACACTGCGAGGGTACTCCGTGACATTCTCTATGAAGAGCACGTCTGCAATCACAGGATACTGCTCATAGAAGGATTCGTGGGTGTTGAACTCCACATCTTTCTCATGAAGCCCCTTCCCCATCCGGCTGTACATGATGCAAACCGGGCCTAGTCAGGTAAAATCACACACTTGGTCGGAAAATGATAATAATTCACTTCATTTGGACTCTCCAGTACCCTTGTGTGGACATCACATTACTTTTTATACATTACATGCCAACAGACTTCTGAGGCTTTTGCTGCCGTGGGCCACATCCATTCCTTGTGCAGCAAACAGAGCAGGCACAAGTAAATCAAGACGCAGAAAGTTTTTACATGTTTCACTACCTAAAAATCCAGGGAAAATTGGTTAATTTGATCGAGCTTCGTTTGGGGTCAGAACTTCTTTTCAACTTGCAGTATCTCTGATGGGTGGTGCACCAATTTCCACGACCAGAACGAAAGTTGACATCAAGGATATTGGGAAAGTTGCAAGTCCCGTACGTCTTTTCGAGCACTGACTGACAATCTGGAGAAATCTCACAGCTGGCACGCAAAATCACGTGCTGGCACTGACGGAGGTGCTTCCCATTGGCATCTTCTGCGACAAACTTTTGGGCAGCTGCCTGAAGACTCAAGCATGCCTCATGCTGTCAGCTGGATAGCGAGACTGAAAGGCTGATAGAAATCTCAATACGGGTTTGCAAGACATTTTAGCTTTGAATTCTATCCTGGTGTGCATTCTGCAAGGTAGCTGTGCCAACTAAACTGTTTACAAACACAGCCTTATACTGCAAAATGCTGCCTTTATCTGGATCGACCCCGTTGCTACAAAATGCTTTGGTGGTTTTGATGGTGGATCAAAAGCCAATGTGGGTCACTCTCAAAATGCACTTGCGTAGCCATTTTGTAGTGAAAAACGGGTTGCAGTGAAAAATCATGATTCTCTACTAAAGTATGGTGCTACAATAAACCTACCGGTAAATCTGGTAATTTCACTCTAAGTCTTTGGTTCACTTTCCAGGGCCAGGTCATAGCATTTGCCGAGCACAAATAAATACAATCTTGGGATTCCATCGGATTCCAAGAATTGACCTGTCAAGAGGTTTTCTACTACGATGCTCAGAGCTATGGCGCAACAAAAACGATCTAAGCGCAAAACTTCAAATTCAATTGATTGGCTTTGAAGCAAATCTGTCCCATTTTTCATTCTTAACCACTCTACAAAAAGCATGTTTTTCGAACTTCTTGGGGCTTATTTGGGGGGAGACGCAGTAGGTTCTACAAAAGGTTATGCACGCATGTGTCACTACAAAATGCAGTGCATGACAAAAGCCATCCAGAAACTAGGACATCACGCATCGAAGCGTAGATTCTTTGAACTTGGGTGAAACTTGACTATTGGACAAAAAGAGCAGGACCCTAGTAGAAAGGGATACATTTATTAGATTATAATTTGGTGTGACAAAAGCACGGCGCAGAGATTTTGAACTGCAATCGTCAGAGCTATGGAGCAACAAAAACGATCTAAGCGCACAACTTCAAATTCAATTGATTGGTTTTGAACCAAATCTGTACCACTTTTCCTTCTTAAAGTCTCTAAATTGTTTTTTTTTTGTGGGGGAGGCCATCTTACCACGAAATGATCGTGAGTCAAGAGCCAAAAACGGTCTGAGGGTCCAAGCCATATGTTAATGTGACCCAGCATGACTGGCAAAAGATGGCTATAGGGCTTCCTGTATGACCCAAAGCATCCCAACATAAATCACTACAAAATGCATTTCCGATTTTCAAGTGCTAAGTTCGAAAAATGAAAACTTAGCGATTGAAGACTTCACGAAATGAACGCAGATAATGAAGCCTGTCAAGGGCGCGAATAAGCAGCCTTATTCGCAACCTTTGATTTCACTGATTTTCAAGTTCCAAAAATGAAAAGCCGCTACAAGATGCAGCACATACTCTCTGACTACAAAATCCTGGGCACGACGTCATTTTTTTACATGAATTCTCTCCGCAACAGGGGATGGTATCCAGCACGTGCTCACCCATTTAGTAGTGGAAATGGTAAGGGGGATTGAAATTTACATTCTGAAATTTGATGAAATTGCATGGAAGATGCGCTTTCAACAGCCCCACATCCGGAAAATGCAGTGGTCATATTCCACCTCCATTTCTTCAGTCGGGACATGAGCCACGATCGCCCAAAGCACTGACTAGCACATTGGATCCACACGTCGGCCCAGGAAAAAGTGGAGAAAACGCTCTTGAAGTGGCATGGTGAGTCAGGTGCTGGTCGGGGCACGTTCGTCTTCGGGAATTTCTTCCTAAGATTTTGGCACCCCCACTGCACAAACTAAGATTTCAGGGTTTATTTGGCAGGCTTTCATGAGATTGTATCAATGGTAAGCCCCCAACACCTTTGAGATGGTCTTCTTGACGTTGGACCTGTTCATAAGTCTTGCAACTATGCGGTAAACAAACCAGTGGGTTACCAGATGTTACCAGTCAATATCAGTCAATCGCAAAATTGTTCTTGTTGCTGTCAAGTCTTGGGATTGCACCTTTTGACTGTGCTGGGCCTCGGCCCGGTGCAAGACAAATAGCTGGACAATTTGGGATGCTCATTCCAACTCTGACGGAAAAGAAATGAAACTTTGTGAAGCATTCCAAGTCAGACTGAGGAACAAGCAATTGGTCTTTCACACTTGATGGCGTCTTTGCTCCTTTTTTCCTGCACCAGACCAGAACCCATTGCAAAATTCCCAGGAACACAGGAAAGATCAGGAAAGTTGTTTTCTTGGAGGCTGGTGAAGATTTACATTGTCCCAAGATACCCTGCCTGGGAGTCATGCAACGGGACCCAGTGAGGATTTGCAAACCTTCTTTCACTGAATATCTAGGGCCCATTGCTCCCGTAAATCTCTTCCAAGGACAGAGGCTTGCAAATGCAAAATGCACTGCGGCATCTTGTGATTCAAAGCATGTGTGCCAGCATGATTTGATTCGGAAATCATTTGAATGTGGAATCTTGCAAGACTCATGCCCATCCAGCTGCTGAAATAATTTGCTTGCAGCAGGGCTTCCTTTTTCTACAGCTTCCAATGCCAAGTGTTCACTGCAGCTCGGAATCATCAGGATGGCGGCACTGCTTCTTCGAGGCCTGTTCCAGGTATGTCAGGTATGTATGGAAGCATCTAAACTTTTTCGCTGACTGAAGCCTTGCTGAAATAAATGGACCCGGTCGCCTCAGTGTTGGATTCCTGGGCTTTGCGCTTGGACTTTGGGTAAACCTTGCCACAGTCTTCAAAATTGAATGTTGTTTGGCTGATGCAACTGGCAAAAGGATCAGCCCTGATTAAAAAACTTGAAGCATTCCACCCCAGCCTCTGGGAGGGTCTGGTAGCGTTCCATCGTCAACTGGTCAAAGTAGCAAATTGGGATCAATCATTCTGTGATGCAGACAGATCTTAAACTGACTGGCCTGTGAATCCTCATAGTACGTCCAGTGGTTGGGGTCGTCCTGGGGCCAGTAGTCCTGAGAAGAGAATATAAAGCAGAGAAAGTAGTATTGGTTAGGCAAGTGCAATTACCCCCACACCTCATCATCAGAGGTGAGCTCCCGCTTTGGTGGAGCAGCTTCACTCTCATCAACTTTTCCATCTTCCTGACCCAAGAGAACAAATTGTTTACCACCCCTTGGTTCAATGGGTTGATTGACAGGCGTTCAATGGAAGGTCTCGCTGAGGAAGAAGCATTCTCCACGAGGACGATGGGCTGGGATTCACGAGCTGCTGGATTGACCGGCATACCTCCAAGTGTTTTCAATCATGGCAGTCTAACACTTTGGAGTGGCAAACATAAATTTCATGCATCCAATCCAAGACAATCAAAGTTTATTGTTCAAAGTGTAAGCGCGTTGATCAATCAGGCCTAAGCAAGGGAAGGCAAGTTGAACCCTGGCAACCGCACTAACCTAGCAATGCTGGCAGCTACACCTGGAAACAGCTTTGGAACTAAGATGCAAGCAGCAGTTCACAAAGACATGTAGTTGACATGGTGCCGAGAGCCACGGCACTGGGCAAAAGAAGTTCCCATGGTTTCCAAGCAGTGCGACACCCCTTTTGAAAATGCTTGCCAACCCCTGCATGTTTGACCCCTCAAAGTAGGAGCCAAGTCCTGAAATAAAAGGAAGCCACAAATGTAGTCATCAAGAAATCTTGATACTTCAACGGCAGTTGAACCTATTCGTTGATTGTGACTTGTTTCAGGACTCAAGGCTGCACTGTGACACGAAATTTCATTGTTGGGATCACTCTGCCAAGTGCAGACGGAAGCCCCATTTGGATCACCTGCCCTGGGGCAGGGTTCTCAATCCAACCCAACGCCGGAAGACCTTGAGGCCTTTCAGTACGGCAAATGCTAAGTAAAAACTCTACAGCACGACGTGTGGCTTCATGTGGGTATTTCTCCAACAGCAACTTTGCAAGGGCTATGTAATCCTTTTGCTTGCTGGGCTTCACTGCCCGCAACACTCTCACTTGGCCTTCCCCAGGAGGACGTCCAATGCGATCAACATAGCGATGAGGAAAGGCCAGCACAGGGTTCTGATTCAGGCCACAGCATGCACAGACAATCTGTAGATCAGTTCAAATCAAACCTTTCGGACATCACTTAGTTGAGACCATGCTAAGACTTTTAGGCAAAATCTATGTTGATCCATGTTGAATGTTTGTGAGTCCTGGGAAAGGAGATCATCACTAGCATAGCGCTTCAGCAGCAAAATTGCATCAGAAGGATGCATGGGCATGCGGGCCCCTCTTCCATGGGCTTCGATGGTCACGTTTTCTGGGATGTCTCGCAGGGGAAAGCATTCACGAATACTCACAACCAAGCAAAAGTGAGTGATAACAAGAACTGCATGAGTATCGCTCACTTCTGGTTTGGTGAAATATGCTACCACCATGCAGTTGCCAAGTAAACATCAAATTGGGCTGATTTGCATATTATTTAGTAAATACCTGGCCTGACCGACGCATCAGCACAAAGCAGTGGTGACCACTTTCGTCATCTCGCAAGCCACCGGCATATGTCACAGGTGCCCGCGACAACCTGACTGAGTGGAAGTCACAGGAGCCTGGACTTGCTTGAGGTTCCGACGATGCAAAGGTTCTGCAACAAAATTCAAATGAACAACAAGGTTTTCTCTCACTTTGGTTTGTTATTATTTAAAGTAAGGAACCAAGATTTCCAGTTTCGAACTGCAGACAAGTACTGCACACGGATTTTCGCTGCACCAACGAATTGTCGAATGCCAATCCTCTCCAGGATGATTTGTATTTTCCTGAGAAAAGTCTCGGTGACAAAATGGTTGAATTGTCAGATTCTTGGTACAATTGATCATCTGGAAGCCTCAAGAAGCCAAACTGTGATATTGATATTTCCGAACTGTTTGGAACGGTGAGTTGTTAAGCTCGTGGCTGTGCAACATCAACAGGATCCGCCAGCACATCGATGTGTCGCATTGCAACACTGATCAAGCCATAGATTTGATCTCAGCTGTTTCAATTTCATGAATCAGGATTATATTTAATTTGCTTTTTTGACTTGAATCATGCACAACTTCCATGGGTTGTCTTTCCTTGTTGGGGCACCCGCCTTATTGTGCCAAGAAACCCAAACAACCATGTGTATGGCCTACTCGGCCAAAAAGGATTGCACCAAGCCTGATACAGTGCGTGCTGCATAGCCATGAGAGAAACCGGATGAGGTTCCCGTTCTTCGTCTCCCTCACACAATTGTCAGCCTGTCAGCCAGAGTTTCACTGGCAAAGATGTTTTTAAGCATTTTTTCTGGCAATATTTTTTGGCCGTCATGCACAAACCGATAAGTTAAAATCTATAAATTAATTCAAAGTAAGGTTGTCCTAGGGCTCAAGCATTGAAAGACTGGCACACAATAAGCAAAATAATGCCAAGATACAGAGATCAAGATCTGATCTGGAAATGGAACTTGCCGCTCTTGACAGCATTGCTTGGCAAACTCAATGGATCTGGATCCTGTCTCGATCACCATGGTGGAGTCTGCTGGGACCCTTGGGTCCAATACCTTACAGCATGGCGTTGTGGTGCACAGCTCATGTCTGACATTGTATTGGAGTTTCCCTGTCTGATGTGGGGATGAATCTCAAAAGCCCGCGTGGAACTGAGTACGTTGAAAAATAATTGCAATCCATCTTGCAATTGCTGAAGAACGCATAGATTTGGGATTTGGAATGCACAAAAGAAATTGTGCCAACAAGGCACCCAGAGATCCAAAACGACACCGTGAACCCAGCAACCTTGAACCTTCAGTTGTGGGCGCTGCAGCATGGATGTTGATTTCAAAGGTCGCTGCCCAGCATATCTGGGTATCCTCCATTTGCTCTGATCCATTCCATCCTTGGCTAGCTGTAAAAAGAAGCAACTCAAGATTGAAAACTCAAAACTGCTAGCCTGTTGAAAAACATCACACGGAAATACATGGAATATCTATGCACGGCCCAAGGCTCCCAGTGGATAGCAAGTGTATTCCCTGGCCGCTCTAAAGGTCGCTGTCCTTGCAAGAAAGATTCTAAATCTCTGTCTCGGCCAACATCAGTGATGTGCTGTTTGTAGGCTTTGGCCGTCTCGAATTTCGTCTGGTTGTCAGAGGCATGCCGGAAAGACTCTTTGAAGCTGGCGCAGCAGTCGCACTGGCCATGTTGACTTGGTGGTGTGAATCGCAAGGTGTTCTGCCAAATTTCTCTGAAGGTGCGCCAAAAGTGCAGGTAACTCACTGAATGAGTGACGCAAAATTGGTGCCAAAGCATCTTGATGTTTCCAGTTGGTAAATACCTGGTCGGCAAACACTTGATCTTCGAAGCGAAATTTGTTTCCACCACCGAGGTGAAATACCCAGTCAGCCCCATGATATGAAGCTGGATCTCTTCGTCAACCTCCATCTCTTCAGGTTGAACATCATCAAAATCATTGGCAGGGTCCAGGTCACTGGAACTCGATGAAGCAGCATCATCATAGTCGCAAACACTCGTAGCATCCTCCTCCATGACTACGGACAACTTCTCTTTGGGGGTGCCCTTGTTGCCGCGTGACCGGCCACCTCGTTGGAACCTTGAGAGGGCTGCTATCAGGCGAATGTCAATGTCGATACTCCATGAAACAATCAGCCTTGTCGATCCAGCCAATGTTGATGATACTCGGTGAAACATGATGAAACCATCTTGCACATTGCTAACTCAATCCCTGCTGAAGCCAAGCTTCTTCTGTGGGAGCATGCCAGCAGCATCCATGTACAGCTTTAGCAAGTAGAGGTTTACCTCACGCCGCTTCCGAGCTGTTCGCTGCACTGCCTGAGCTAGTAGTGCTGGCAACTCTGAGCTGTGATTTTCGGTTAGCTGTTGGGCTCTTCTTCTTCACAAAAAATTTAAAAGTTGGAAAAATCCTCACACATTTTCTGAGCTGCAAAGCCCCAGGATCTCCTTTTGTCCCACCTTCCTTCCATAATTCGCTGGAGCCTGTCCTGGCCCATCCCAAGTAAGCCAACTAGACACTTGGAATTCACAAGCTTGTCCAAGAAGAACCACTGTCTTCTTGAGTTTGAACGCGGACCAATGGTCTGTTTGACCTCGAATATTTCCAAAAACAGGGTGGCAGAAACATTGATACGCACATTGATCCAGAGGAATGATTCATGGATGAACAACATTGGATCACAGATAGTTCTCTCAGCCCAGCACATATGAGTCTTGCAATCCCCGCTTCATTGCCCAGAAAACAGAAAGGAATCTATGCAGCTTCTCTCGTGCATCAGCATCCTTGAACTTCTGGAAGCAAACTCGCCGAGGACATCGGCACTGGGAAAGTGCGAGCAATCGATCCAAGCGATGGTGACAAGGTCCGTTGGAAGAATGCCTCAGAACTAACTAGCAACTCCATGGTTTTGAGTTTCAATGTGGCACAGTCATTGAATTTAAGCAAATAACAGCAAATATCACGCCACTGGTCCAGCAACTCCAGCAACCAACATGATTGACGAAGGGCTAAGTTGGGCACTGCTGGCGTCCTCGCTGGATCTTCATCAGAGACCGCTTGGTGTTGTCATAGTTCGGTCGTTTCCTGAAGTTCACACTTGGAAGGCCGTGACCATCCTCACCCTGAGTAGCAGCACTGTGCATGCCCTGAAAGTCCAGCAAGCCTTCCAAATTGAATCTTACGTGATAATGCCGAGAAGGTGGCTCTCTGTTGTGACAACTGTCTTGTCCTGGCACAGCAAGTTCCCTACAGCAATCCCTAGCTGGAGATGCCTGATTGCTGGGTGACGGCGCGGCCGTCAAACTGGCCAAAAACCTTGGCAAGACCGAAAGTATATCAGTGGCACATAGTGGCACGACAGAAAGCCAAAGAGCAACAAGAAACGTGAAGCACAGAATTCTTTGATATTCTTTGCGTTGACAGGGTTTGGCAAGCACATGAATCTTGGCCCTGACAAATGCCAAGAGTCTTTCTCCGTTGAGCAGACATGCCCCTCAGCAGGCTGGCGGCTCAACCACAATCATATGGAACAAGGCACGTGACATATACACACGAAGAAAAAAGAAGATAACCAATTTTTCAGGCGGCTCACCAGGTCCCGCCTCAAGATATAGATCTAGCCAGGCCTATGGCAAGTGAAGCCTTGGCACCCAAGACTTTGCACACACTAGCAACACTAGTAGGGAGGAAGGCTGGATCAATCTGAATCATATCCGTTTGGAAATTAGATGGAATCAA